AGGGGTGGGAGAAGAGGGGGAGGAGGGAGGAGGAATCTTTATTGTCCAAAACTCACTCTTAAATTGGGAAGTCACAGGAGGAGCAAATTAAAGGAACCCATCTGATTACAAGAGGAATCAAATCTCAGAGGCACAGAGGAATAATAATGGGGGGGGGGGAAGGATGCCCGGCCAGGAAACGATTTCGTTACAAATGTTCAGCTTGTGGCACAAAGGGCTGGAACGGGATCACAAGACCTGTGCGTGCACCTGCAATGTCAGCTGGAAGTCACAGGGATGTGGGGAACAAAACTGCTCAGATACATTTAGCGACACAGTGTAACACAAGCCAGAAACTCCCTGAACATGCTCAGACACATCTCTGTCCCCATCCAACCTGCTGCAGGTGATGGCTTTAACGAAGATACAAAAAACGCCAAAAGCTGCTGTGGCTTTTGTTTTTCCCCTCTCAGTGCTCCCAGACTGGCTCACACCAGCAGGAATAATTGTCTAAAAGTACTCCGGGTTGTTCGATAAGAACACAATAAAAATGTTAAAGGGATTTATCGGCCCATTATCACTTTTCTTACTGCAAAAATCAAAATGCAAACTAAGAATTGAGCAAAACAACAGTTGTAAAGGACAGATGTTTACAGTGGTAGGAAAATACTACATGAGGTAACTGCAGTGGGGCAGTGCCAAGGGAAGGAGATGTTCAGGGAAAGCGTGAAGGAGGGTGGGCTTAAGGTCGCCCAGAAACCACAAAAACGTGTGTTAGAAACAGCACTGGTAGGACCCATCCAGCCTGTTCAGTGTCACACACGGCTGTCAGCAAACAACCAACACAAGCAGCAACTTCCTGATGTGATTTTCTCAGGCAGCCCCGGGATGCCGAGAGACAACTCCAAGAGTTTCAGGCCCTGGCAAGCACCGGGAAGAGCAGCCACCCCAAAAGAGACTAAACAAGTGGGCAGGGAATGTCAAAGGGATCTTACTTTCGTTAGGCAGCTCCTCCCGATCCAGGTCATCCAGAGGGGCTGAGGCAGTGCTCCCACTGTCGTCCAGGGTAAGGATGAGGGGAACGTCATCGTCCATGCTCACGGCCATCCCGTCCCTCCAGAGGCTGCTGCTCCCAGAGCTTTAAATAACGCCTTTTCCAGTCCCACTCGAGAAACGCTCGTGTCAAAACCTCTCCCGGGAAAGTCTTCCATCGGGGCTGTCTTCTGGACACAGGGATACAACACTACAGGCACCCATCTCCGGAGACCACAGTTCCAGAAGGAGATCGAGTTATCTGCCTTGCAAAAAGCAAGAGCGGGACTCCGGGCTCGAGGTATTTATGCCAAAGCTGAACTCAAAAAGCGAGGTCCGGGGCTGCCTATCCCAGCCAGCGCAGGGCGGCAGGGAAGCAGGAAAAGCGTTCCCTGGCAAACTCCTGACCCCTCGGCACCAGGGGCAGCGGGAGTGTCGCATGCGGAGCCAGCATGGTGCTAAGTGTCCCCGCCGCGCATGGCTCTGTCCCCCGACGAGCCCGCACGCCTCGGCCCCGGCTGGGGACGGGAAACAGGGAGCCTCGGAGGCCGCTTGGAGTCCGCACACATGAAGTTCCCGTGGGATATTTTTAACTGCGCGGTGCCCCGCAAGGTCACAGGGGTTTCCCTAGAAGGTAACGGGGGAAAGGGAAAATCAAGCAGGCCCGGGGCAGCGCCGCGGGGACAACCCACACAAGCTGCCCCTGCCCGGTGGGAGGGACACGGGCAGGGGGCTGTCACGGAGCCCGGCCCGGCCCCGCCGCCTCCCCGGCCCCGCCGCCCCCCTCACCCACACGTAAACCAGCTCCGCTCCGGCCCTCCGTGCCCGTGGGACCCTCCGGGACCCCCCAGGACCCCCCGGCCCGTCCCGGCCCCTCCGAACCGGCGCCCGCAGCGACCGCGGCTCCTCAGCGCCCCGCGCGCGCGGCCCCGCCCCTCCCGTCTCCCTATTGGCTGCCGCGCCCGCGGCCCCGCCCAGAAAAGGCGGGGCTTTTACATCTCCCGCCAATCCGCGCGCCGCACCCGGTCCCGCCTCCTGCGGGTGAACTCGCGTTGTTCCCGCCTCCCTCCTCCTCTGTTCGCGTACACCGCCTCGCCATTGGGTGGCGCTGCTGTCCCTCTGGACAGATAGGGGCGCTGATTGGCCCGAAGTGGCGGGGGTGGGCTCTCGGGGAGGAGAGTGCGGGCTGCCATTGGCTGTGTCGAGGCCCCGCCCCCGAGGGTCAGAGGGAGCGGAACGGTTGCCGGGCAACGGCGGGAGCGGCCCGGGGAGCCCTGAGGGGAACCGGGAGGGGATCCTCGCCGGGACAACTCCCGGGACACCCCCGCTCCGGGGCTGGGCCGCGACAACACCCCCGCGGACCCCTCTCGCTCCGGGGCTGGGCCGGGGCACTTTCCCCGGGGCCATCCCTTCCCATCCGCTCCAGAAAGGGACGTCCCTCTTCCCAGGTTCCTGTTCCCGCTGGCTGCAGGGATCAGTCCGATCCCACGGGCACCCCAGCCCAGCCCCGCGGGTTGCTGTGAGGGCCCCACCACGGAACACACATCCCGAGGCCCTGGGAGCCCATCCATGCCTGATGAGGTGAGGATTCCCAAGCTGGAAGCAAGCAGCCCGGTGTGAAATGAATGAACCTGTTCCAGTGTGTGTGCACTAGGGACAGCACTCTGAGGAGGGGGGTTTGGATGGGGAGTTCAGTTCAGGATGGGTTCCAGGTCGGAGGGGCTGCACACCAGCTGCTGCAGGCACAGGTGTGTGTGAAGAAACAAGGGAGCTGTTCTGGGCCAAGCAGAGCAAAAGCTACACTGCCCACACATCAAAACATCTTTTACAGTTGTTTGTTGCACCTAGGGCTGGGCACAGGTGATTTTGGAAGCTCCCAAAGCAGCTGGTGCTTTGCTGAGAGACTGAAGTCAAAGGAGCCAGGGCTGAGTGAAAGATGAAAGTGAGATTTATAGCAGTGCTGAGCAGACAGAGAAATGAGAGCAGCAGCAGGCAGGAGTCCCAGATTGGTTCAGGCCTCTGTATCAACAACTCTTGCCTGAACCGAGCATCAGTGACACTGGACAGGGTGGATCTGGAGCTAGGGAAAAAATGAACATTCCCCCTGCCTCATTTCATACAGATTTAATGTGTTGTTTTTTTTTTTTTTTTCCACACAAGCACCAGTTCTAGCAGGCAGGGCAGGCCCAGAGGTAATGGAGCAGCTTTTGCTCTTGTGCTGGGCTGCACAGCCCTGGCAGAACAAGAGGACAGAGCAACAGTAAAGCACCTACACGAGTGAGAATCACAGAACAAAATACAAACAACCCATATAAACCCCTTTCTATTTCACCAACATTGCCCTTGTGGTGTAAATAGCAAGGAAGTGCCAGGTCTGACCTCCTGGAAGCCCTCAGTGACACCAGGGACAGGAAAGCGTGTGGCTGATGTGACGGGCTCTGAGTTTCCCCTGCTCATTCCCTGGAGCCTGAACACAACAGTAGGAGCAAACTGGCCATACAAGCCCCCATCAGCTCGTTTTTCAGATAAAATTTCTCTTGATTTTAGGAGGCTTCACCTTTCAAGGTCTCCAGCTCTCCAGTGTTGCACTGGGTCAGTTCTCTGCTGCTGAGATTTCAGGGCAGTTACCACAGTGGGCTGACGATTCACTCCACTGAATCCAACTCATCCCTCTGCTGCTGGGGAACAGTGTTCCTGCTTTTGTGTCAATCCTCAACCCTCTTGTCTCCATCTAGTGTCCAAATCACACTCAGATTGTCTCCCAGCCCACAGCTTTCTCAGGTTGCACTTCACTGTGCTGAGCAGGCTCAGGTTCACCCCCAACCCCTATTCTGAGCAGGCCTCAGTTGTTCCATGTCCCTCCAGTTTTTACCCAGGTGGAGAAGACCTGCTGGACTGCCACAATGGAAAGTGTAGGGAAAGATCTGAGGTCTTGGAGCTGATCCCAAGGGTCCTCATTCACCCTCTCAGGTTTTAACAACATCAGGTTATTCTTGCTTCCTACCTGCCAAAGGTGGCTGGAGCACCAGGCCCCAGGAATGCTGGGTCACCCAACCCTCCTCCCCAAAACCCACCTGCCCTCGGCTTTCTGGGGAGGTTCAAAGGAGCATGAAGGTATTTAGACCTGGCACCTCTTGAGAAGTCCCATTCCAGGCACATTTCCTTCATTTGATCCCTTGGCAAGGCTCAGTTCAGCAGCCAGGGGCAATTCTACCCAGATTTGGGATAGGTAAAAGGATCCCTCCATAGGAATGTGCAGGAGGAAGCTGCTCAATGCCCTCAGACTTGCAGGAACTGGCACCTGCTGCCTTGCCAGTCTGAACCAGAAGCACTTTGTGCTGTCTGCACCCAGGAAAGGGCTTGTCCCAAAGGAGAAACACACCGTGCTTACCTGCTGTTCCTGGACACAGCAGGAGAATGAGTGGGATGGAAGAGATACAGCCACAGCCTGAGCTGTACAGCCACAACACCCACATTCAGAAAAGCTGCCTGTTCCAGACATTCCTCAGGTTGGAGATGAAGGGAGGGGGCAAGAAGGCCAAGAAATAAGCACAAAATCCATGTGCTGCCTGGCTCCAGCTCCACATACTGGAGTGGGGCAAGGCACAATCCTGCTGCTGCTCAGAGTGCAATAAAATAATTTCTGGGGGCAGAATGATGCTCTTAACCTGGCTCAGTGTGTTGTTGGGTGTACTGGAGTGTTTCCCTTTGTGTTGGAGGGAGTTACCAAACTGCCAGGACTCTCCTGTATTCCCCGACCTCATGGGCTCCTCACCACAGCCTCCCTCCCCAGGGAGCAGTGACTGCAAGCCCCAAGTCACCCAGCCCATGTCCTTCATCTGCCTCCCTATCTATATTCCTACAGACCAAGCTGCTCTTTCCCACCTCAGGGATAGAAACTGAGGAGCTGCTTTACTGAGACAGTCTTTGGAGATGCCCAGATGGCTCAGCAGCATCCCACGGACCAAACGTGAGGTCCCAGTTTTGTCTTGGATCATTTATTTGGTGACAGCATGGCACTGCTGTGAACAACCCTCAGCGCAAGCCACAGGGTTGCGTGTCCGCTCAGCAGCTCATCACCACGAGCTGCCAAAATCCCTGCAGCTGATCCTTCTCTGTCACAAACCCCACCCAGCCTGGGGCCATCCCAACACCAACAAGATGCAGGGTGATGCCATTCCTCATCTCCGAGCTCTGTCCTCCCTTCTCCAGACTTGCCAGAGGAGACCATAAAGCGTCGATGACACCGAGGCTGTCGGGGCTGGCGCACACGTCCTGTGCACGGAGGCAGAGGGAATGGGGCTCCTTCTCTGGAGAAGGGAATGTTTTTGGGGGCGTCTAAGAGCAGCAGCCCAGTACCTGCAAAGAGGAGGTGACCATAAAGGTTGGGCCAAGCTCTGTGCTCAGAATGAGGACAGAAATTTAAACAGCAAAGGCTCTGACTGGATACAGAGGGAAGGTTTCTGCCTCGAGGACAGTGGAGCAGTGGGAGAAGGGCCAGAGAGGCTGTGCAGCCTCTACCCTTGGGGGTCTCCAGCACCTGACCGGATAAAGCCAAAGCTCACCTGTCAGGAGCAGGAGGTTGGAATAGGGATCGCCTGCATTCCCACAGGCACAAGTGATCCTGTGATTGCACGTGACAGGCAGAACAAAGCAGGACTCCTGTCCCCAGAACTGGTCAGCAAAGGTCCCCTTTGGGACGCTCAGCTGCCCTGGCTGCCCTCACCTGGGACCCCCACCCCAGTGCCATCCCCTGCTTCCTCTTTTGGGAGCTCGGTGAGCTCAGTCCTGCCTGTCCCCTCTGCTCTGTGCTGTCACTGTACCTGTGCCTGGTCCTTCTCCTGGACGGGCCTTGGACTACCCTGTGGGCACTCCTGTCTCCTGCTGCTCCGACTTCTCAGATGGACTTTGCAGACAGCAGGAACCCGACTCGTTACTGCTCCTCATCTGATGACAACTGGACATGGATGCAAGTGGCTGTTCCCACCAAGGCCATCCCACTTGGGTACTGTGGGGTTGTGCCCTGCACAGGGAGGTCATTGCCCCCAGTGCTGTGGTCACCTCTGGCTCCTGGCTTGTCCTCCAGCATGGAACAGCCCCATCCTTTGTTTCCAGCCATGGAAAAGCAGAGAGTCCTCACTCACTTGGTCACTGGGAGGTCTCAGGTAGCCTAAGCCTGTTATGTACATCCAGAGAGACACTTGGCATCACTTCCAGGGTGGTCTAGGCTTGCAGCCACCTGCTGCCTTGGCATTCCTGGCCACAGGAGGTCCAGACAGGCTTTTAGATCTGCCCCTCATCAGAGAGCCTCCGGACGAGGCAGGGCTTATGGGAGCACTCTGGTTTTTCCACCTTTCTGTCCCAGGGTTGTCTGAAGCCAGGTGGAGCCTTTCCAAGGGGGCGCTGAGCCGGCTGACAGACTGGGAACGTCCTCTGCCAGGAGCCCCCCAGCCTTCGGAGCAAGCACTGCTCTCGGGACAATTCCAGCCCCCAGATTTGCCCCTGTGGCCGGGCTCTGAGCCCGCTGTGGCCAAAGGGGCAGTGGCTGGCGGGTGCACGGCTCTCAGGGGTGTCCCCCTGGAGCGAGGGGAAAGGCCGGGCTGGTTTCGAGGGGCGGGCGGGGGGCTCCAAAGCAGCGTATGGAGCTTGGCTATGTCTTGTTTCCTCATGCACGGAGCTGCCCAGGCGGTACCCTGGGGCTTGGCACCGAACAGGGACTCGTCGCAGAAGGACGGAACGTGGCTTCGGGACCTTGGCGAGGCGACAAGCGGAGACACGTGTTGGTTAGAAGGGCATCACCGAGACCCGAGAGGGATGGGGAGGGATTCCCGAGCGAGGAGAGACCCCCGTGGGAGGCTGAGACCCCCCGCCAGACCCTCCCGGGAGCCACCACCGATCCCCTTTACGCGCAGTGAGCCCCGAAACGCATGACAGCGGGCCGGGGGCTGCGGGGCAGGGGCGAGCAGGACCGGGGGAGCGCCCCGAGCCGCCTCTCACCTGCACTGACTCCTCGGCCGGGAGCCGCCGGCAGCGGGAGCCGGGGGAGCCGCCCAGGGCGGTGCGAAGGCGGGCGGCGGCGGGCGGGCCCCCGCGGGGCGCCCGAACAGCGACTCGTCCACGAAGGAGGCCCGCGCCCGGCGGCGGCCCCGGGGAACCCGCGGGGGGCGGGCGGTGGCGGCAGGAGCGGAGCCGCCGCCCGGGGCAGGTCCCGGTGGCGGTGCCGGTCCCCCCGCCCGCATGGCCGCGGCCCCGGGGCGGGCCCGGCCTCGGCCCGGCCCCTTCCGCCCTCGCCACGTGGTTCCGCCGCCGGTCCCGCCATGGCGCCGCCGCGCAGCCGCCGCCAGCCCCGGGGAGCGCCGGTACGGGGGTAGCGGGGGGAGCGGGGAGGGCCCCGAGTGTGTGCGGTGTCCGCGGTACCGCTGTGCCCGGCCCCCGTGTGCCGGCGGCCCCGATGCGCCCGGTGCTGGCGTCCTCGGTGCCAGTGTTCCCGGTGCCCGTGTGCCGCGGCCCCGTGTCGCCAGTTGCCGTGTGCCAGCGTCCCAAGGACTGCTGTCCTCAGTGCCGATTTTCCCAGTGCCACTCTCCCCAGTGTCTGTGTCCTCAGTGCCAATGGCCGCAGTACCTGCCTCTCTCCCTAATGCCAGCGTCACCAGTGCCAGTGTCCCCAGTACCAGGATCACTAGTACAAGTCCCCATTGCCGATGTCCCCAGTGCCAGTGTCCCCAGTGCCAGTGTCCCTGGCACCCCCTGTCCCCAGCATGGATGCCCCTGCCCTCGATGCCAGCAGTGCAGAGCTGTAGCGCCCTGGCCCCACCGTAACACCCATCCCCACAGCCTTGTCCCCAGGTCCCTGCACCTGCCCTGCCCGCCTTCCCCACCGCCACCGAGGAGGATGATGGCGCCGATGCCGAGCTGGACACCCAGGCCATGGTTCGGGCCCAGAACCAGAAGAAGAAGAAATCCGGAGGCTTCCAGTCGATGGGTGCGTGTGGAGCAGGGTACAGCTGTCCCTGGGATGGGGACTGTCCTCTCCTGCCCACGTCCCCTCACCTGTCCCCATCTCTGCAGGCCTCAGCTACCCCGTCTTCAAGGGCATCATGAAGAAGGGCTACAAGGTGCCCACCCCCATCCAGAGGAAGGTGAGCGTGGGGGGCAGTGGGTCCCCTCCTCGAGGGGTGGCAGGGGGGCGATAGCAGTGACAGTGGTGTCTCACAGACCATCCCCCCCATCCTGCGCGGCCGGGACGTGGTGGCGATGGCACGGACGGGCAGCGGGAAGACGGCCTGCTTCCTCATCCCCATGTTCGAGCGGCTCAAGGCGCCCAGCCAGGCCGGGGCGCGTGCCCTCATCCTCTCGCCCACCCGGGAGCTGGCCCTGCAGACCCTCAAGTTCACTAAGGAGGTACAGGGGACAACAGGGGCGAGTGGGGACAATGGGAGTGATGGGTTTGGTTTCCAACATGCTTCTCTCTCACCTCTAAGCTGGGCAAGTTCACGGGCTTGAAGACAGCCTTGATCCTGGGAGGAGACAAGTAAGCTGTCCCTGTGTCCCCCACCAGTCCCTGCTTCCCTAGAATCTCCCCAAAACCTGGTGAGAGGCTGAGCTGCCCCATGCCACTCCAGCCTCTCCCCTCTCTCACAGGATGGAGGACCAGTTTGCTGCCCTGCACGAGAACCCAGACATGTGAGTGGGGCACAGGGAGGGGACCTGGTGGGGAAATGGCCCTGGAAATGATGTCCCTTATCTGGGGATATCACTGACGTTTAGAGCCAGTACGCCTGATGGATGTGTCCTGGTGTTCCATTGGAGCATCTTCCTGTGGAACTTCTTTGGGCTGGATTTGGGATCTGCTCCCAGTATGGGGTGGGGACACCGTCTCTTCCCACCTGGTCCCGTCACCACCTCTGTCCCCACAGAATCATCGCCACCCCCGGGCGCCTGGTGCACGTGGCAGTGGAGATGAAGCTGAAGCTGCACACTGTGGAGTACGTGGTGTTCGACGAGGCCGACAGGTCAGTGGGGCACAGGGTGGGTCCCGGCACTGGCAGTGTCCCCATATGTGTTCCTGCAGTGGGGTGAGGTGGTCAGGGAGTGGCAGAGAGGGACCTGCCACATCCCATGTCCACTGCCCTGCAGGCTCTTTGAGATGGGCTTTGCTGAGCAGCTCCAGGAGATCATTGCCCGGCTCCCAGACTGCCACCAGACCGTCCTCTTCTCTGCCACACTGCCCAAGCTGCTCGTTGAATTTGCCCGGGCCGGTGAGGAGCAGGGGGCAGGTGGCACTGGGGGACAAAGCACGGTCCCACAGCTGGGCTGATCCCAGCATTGACAAAACCGAGCTGGATTCACACTTGGTGTCCCCAAGCCCCTCTGTGGGGCTGGTCCCAGTAGCACATCCCACATGTGACCCATGCCCTGGGTGTCCCACATTCCACAGGCCTCACCGAGCCCATGTTGATCCGCCTGGATGTGGAGTCCAAGCTGAGCGAGCAGCTCAAGGTGAGAGGGGCTTTGTGCCCACACCTCCTACAATCCCCTTGACCCTGAGGAGGGGACAAGGGTGGCAGGGCTGGCACAGGAGGGTCACAGGGCTGAGCGCTGCCCTCCCGTCACAGCTGGCGTTCTTCCACGTGCGTGGGGACGACAAACCGGCCGTGCTGCTCCACCTGCTCCGCAGTGTGGTGAAGCCCCAGGACCAGACTGTTGTCTTCGTGGCCACCAAGCACCACACAGAGTATCTGAAGGAGGTAAGTGGCATTTGGAGGTGCCCAGCATGTACCCCTGGGGGTGCCTAGGACCCCTTTCCTGACCCACGTGGGGTCTCCAGCTGTGGATATCCCTGCTGGAGTTTCTGCCACTGTTTCAGAGGGTTGAAGAACAAATCCCAGCACAGGTGATTGTGGAGGTGCTGCATCCACCTGCCCCTCAGGGAGGTGGAGCACAGTGGGATTTGGGTGTCAGAGTGGGCACCCTGGAGTCTCAGGCCTTGTCTGCTGGCTGAGGGCCCATGCCCAGGTGGGATCCAATCTCTCTTCCCCCCCTTCCCCAGCTGCTGACGGCACAGGGCATCCGCTGCACCCACATCTACAGCTCTCTGGACCAGACCGCCCGCAAGATCAACATCGCCAAGTTCTCCCAGGGCAAGTGCCCAGTGCTGCTGGTCACGGACGTGGCCGCCCGCGGGCTGGACATCCCCATGCTGGACAACGTCATCAACTTCAGCTTCCCCGCCAAGGCCAAGCTGTTCCTGCATCGTGTCGGTGGGTGCCAGTGCCCCGTACAGGGTCCTGGGGGTCCCTCAGGGTGACAGGGAGGGTGTGAGTGGGCTGTGCCTTGTCACCTGTTTGCCCCGTCCTTGTGGCCTGAGGAGGTGGCACCGGTGTCCCTGGCTTGGTGGTGGTATCTTTGGGGCAGGAGGTCGCCATGTCATGACAACAGGGGATAGGCTGGGGACAAAGCAGTGTCAGGATTGTCCCTGATGTCCCAGTTGGACTGTGGGGGTTCTTGGGGGCAGAGCTGGCACCTGCCCTTCAGGATGGCACTGTGGTGGGCTCCCCTTTGCCCCTTCCCCAACCATGCTCACCTGGTAAATGTCACATACGTGGGCTCCCGGGGACACCAGTGGGTCCCTGTCTGGGTGGGGACAGGATGGACTGGCACAAGGTCTGGTTTTCCACTCTCCTCTTCCCCTTGCCAGGTCGTGTGGCCCGAGCTGGCCGGAGTGGCACTGCCTACTCGCTGGTGGCTCCTGACGAGATGCCCTATGTCTTCGACCTGCACCTCTTCCTGGGGCGCCCGCTCGTCCTCGCCGGAGCCCAGGAGCTGCCCGCTGGTGAGGCAGGCAGTGGCTGCATGGCCAAGCTGGGACAGCAGCCACGGGGCCACTGGGGCACTACCCTTGACCAGTGCTGGAGCTTGTGGTCTTATGGTTGGCCTTCACACAGAGGGGCGATGCAGAAAACGGGGCGTTGGGGGTGCTGATTGAACACTGCCGAGCTCCCTGGGGCTGCTCTGATAAATCCAGGGTGGGTGCTGGGGAGGTGACACGGTGTCCCCTGTGCTGCAGATGCTGGTGGGGTCCTGGGCCGTGTCCCCCAAAGCCTGGTAGATGATGAGGAGTGCCTGCTGCTGACAGACCACGAGGGCTCTCTGGAGCTCCGCAGCCTGCGCCGTGTCGCCGACAACGCCCAGAAGCAGTACCTGCGCTCCCGGCCCGGCCCCTCACCCGAGTCCATCAAGAGAGCCAAGGACCTGGATGTGTCCCAGCTGGGCATGCACCCTCTCTTCAGTGAGTGCCTCAGGGTGCTGAGGGAGGGGACTCCGTTCACCATGGAACTGATCTGTGCCCCTCTCCGTGCCCATCTTCCCCAGGCGCTCGCTTCGAAGACACCGAGCTGGAGAGGCTGAAGTTCGTGGACAGCATTAAAACCTACAAGTCCAAGGCGGTGAGTGGAGATGCCTGGGTTTGGGTGGGAGGGAGGGTCCATGTGGCTCACTGGGAATCGTGCTCCCACCCTGGGGACAGACCATCTTCGAGATCAACGCCACGTCCCGGACACCGGCCAGCACCGTCATGAGGTCCAAGCGGCGCCACGACAGCGCCCTGATTGAGAAGTTCCAGCGTGGGCAGCAGGAGAAGCGAACAGCAGCACTCAAAGGACAGTGCCACACCACGCCTGGGCCCCAGGATGAGGAAGGAGAAGGAGAACAGGAAGACCTCCAGGTAACAGGGCCATGGACACAGGAGCTGCTGCAGAGTGGCTTTGGCCCAGTGTTGGCAGCAAAATTGTGCCCCCAAAATGTGCCACAGCTTGGGGGTGGTGCACAGACTTGCAGGGATGTTGGGGGGGTCATGGCACCCCCAACCCTTCCACTGTCCCTCTGCAGGACGTGTTCTCCAATGTGGCGGGCCAGAAGCGAAAACGGGGCCGAGGGGGAGAAGATGGTCCCAGGAAAAAGCCACAGCAGCCAGCACAGCAGGACAAGGACTTCTACATCCCATACCGGCCCAAGGATTTCGAGAGTGAGCGGGGGTGAGTCTGGGGGGGCTCCTGTCCTGTCCTGTCCCGGCCTGTGCAGGGACCGCTCTCATGATCCCCTTTGCAGGCTGAGTGTGGGCGGTGAGGGCAGCGCCTTCGAGCAGCAGGCGGCTGGGGCTGTCCTGGATCTCATGGGTGACGAGAACCACAACCTCAACAAGAGCAAGCAGCTGCTTAAGTGGTGAGTGGCATCTGGCCATGGGCTGGGAGCACAGTTAGGGCTGGGGAGCCCACCCACCTGGTCTCACTGCACTCCCCTCTCTCGCAGGGACCGCAAGAAGAAGCGGTTCGTGGGGCAGACAGGCCAGGAGGACAAGAAAAAGGTGCGGACGGAGAGCGGGCGCTACATCAGCAGCTCCTACAAGAACAACCTGTATCCTGCCTGGGGGCACTGCTGCCTGGGCTGGGGGCTGGGGGAGTGGGGCTGGACCTGCTGGCAGCCGCGTAGCATTGGGCCCTGCTCCTGCGGATCCATCCCCTGCCAGGGCAGGGGCCGGGGGAGGGAGCACAGTCAGACACCACAGCGGGCCAAGTGAGGAGAGTCCCTGCACATTCCCTTAACCTGCCCATCCCAGCTACGAGAAGTGGAAGCAGAAGTACAAGGTTGACGAGCGGGATGAGGATGACAACGGCCAGCACAGCAGGGAGCAGTTCAGAGGGAAGCACAAGCGCGGGCACGGTGAGTACCCAGAGCAAGCGACAGAGCCCCACATCCCCCCTCCCCTGCTCTCCCCCGCCCTGAGCATGGCTGTGTCCCTCTGCAGGGCCCGCGCAGCCCCCGGCCCAGGGGAGGGTGCGCTCGGAGCTGAAGAACAAGCAGCAGATCCTGAAGCAGCGCAAAAAGGCGGCCAAGCAGCGGTTCCTGCAGAGCGGGGGCCTGAAGCGCCTCAAGGCCAGGAACCGGCAGCGGGTGCAGGAACTGCGGCAAATGGCCTTCGGGCGCCGGGCAGGCACCACCAAGAAGGGCAAGCTGAGGAAGAGGATGTAGGGGAGGGGACTGTGCCCCCAGCACTCCCCCCATGCCTGGGCTGGGAGTCAGGGAAGGAGACAGTAAAAACTTGGCTGGTTTTGCATCCCGACTCCTCCCTGACCTTGCTGCAACCATCGGGTCTGGGGTTATTCCTCCTCCCTCAGGCCACCCCCAGGCGCAGTCCTAAAACAAGCGAGTCCTGCATCTCCACAGCTGGGATGTATTTTGATGGGAGACACCTTTGGAGATACCAACAGCAGCTCCCTGTTCCTGCCCCGGAGCAGTGCCACCCCAGTGTTCCTGTGCCACGGCCATCCATGTTGCCTCTCATCATGGTGTTCCCAGACTTGTCAGAAAGCAACCTCCGTTCTCAGGGGTCCTATGGCTCCACACTGGCCTTGGCAGCCTCTCCCTAGCCCTGAGAGCAGCCAGGTGTTCCCAGGGGCTGTTCCTGGCTCCAAGACAGCCTGGCACCCCTGTGGCGTGGTGGGTGCCTGCCGGTGGCACAGATGTTAGCCAGGCCCCGCATGCAGAGCAGCAACTGCAGAGATGGGAGCCCGATGCCACAACCATCCAGGGACATGAATGTCCCTGTGTCCCCCAGCCCTGCTGCCTAGGGGAGAGGGCTGCACTGACCATGTCCAGCTGGGCCTTGGTGTCCTCCAGGGCCACATCCATGGGGATCCTGAGCTGCGTGGTGCAGAGCTGGAAGAGGTTCAGCACGGCCAGCTTGATCTGCCCCAGCTGCAGGGTCTTCTGGGTGGCTGTGCTCTGGACGTTGGCCCAGCAGGACTCCTGGGGGGCAGAAACAAAGCCCTGGCCCTACCCCACCACTGCCTTGTGTCCTCCTGCCAGGCCAGGGGGAGTCAGCAGTCTTGGCTGTGCGTCCCCCCATGCAGAGCTGCTGCTTTCTGGGCACGTGTGGGGACCCTCAGCTCAGCCCAGGGGCTGGAGCCCAGCTTACCACCATCACTTGGGGCATCTCCCCTCTGCAGACACGGGGGGTCTGTACTGCTGCCCCTTTCCCTTGGTGGGGGTCCGGGGTCACCCCATGTCCCTTCTTACCCACCGGAGCACGTCTTGGCGGGCGGCCTCCAGGCGGGTGTGGAGTTGGGCCAGCTCATTACTGGCGCTCAGGATCTCAGTGCTCATCTCCTCCTGGCACCGCTGTAGGCGTGCCCTGCCCTGGGCCACCTGTTCCTGCCCAGCTTCTGCCTCCTGTGCCAGGGCTGCGCGCGCCTCCGCCAGCACCCCAAAGTGCACCAGCATGGCCGGCACATCCTGGAACTGGGCAGTGGGAGGGGGCGCTGAGAGGCTGCGGGAGCTGCTGCCCTGGACAGGGCTGACCCCCACTCAGAGGGCTTGGGGACAGGCGGGCTGGCACCGCAGGGCTCACCTGCCCCATGCTGGCCAGCGCGTCCCGCAGGTAGTCCCCGAAGCGGCGGAGGCTCCGCAGGCGCCGGGCCAGGCGCTCCCTGTGCTGCAGGAGCCCCTCGAGCTCCCGGTGCAGGCGGGCGGCCTCGGCCCCCGCCCGTGCCCGCTCCTGGCCCGCCCGCAGCAGCGCCCGCTCCCGCCTGGCCGCCGCAGCCTGCGGGGTGGGATGGGGTCAGCGCGACCCCCGCGACCAGCCCGGCCCCGGCCCCCGCCTCGGCACCTTCAGGAAGGCGTCGTATTTGAGAACGACATCCCGCTGCTCCTCTTCCCTCCGGGCCAGCTGCTCCCGGCGCTGCGCCAGGCGCTCCATCCTCTGCCGAAACTCCTGCGGGACCAGCCGGGTGCCGAGAGCGTCACGCTGTGCTGGTGCACTCGAGGACGGCTGGGGACAAGCCTGCTGTCTGCTCGTCCCCGGGGCACGCCACAGCCGCTGGAGAGGGGAAACACGGCGGGGCTGGGGCCGCCCTTACCTCCCGCTGGCTCTGCAGCTCCTGCTCCACCTCTGCCAGCTCCCGCCTCTTCAGCAGCACGCGAGTGGAGGGCAGCAGGGTGGCTGCATCCCGCGCTGGCACCGTCCTGCCACGGAGCTCAGCAGGGCTGGGGGGGAAGGAAAGCCCGGGCAGGGGGCATCTGCCACCGTGGCATAGGCAGGACCCCCACGGACCACCACTGCCTGCAGAGCCTGGCCCACCCCTCGTGTGTGCAGAGACACCACAGGGTTATCTCTACCTGCATTCGGGTTCTCGCCCAGCCTCCCGCTTCAGCCTCCCCCCACCTGCAGACCCCCAGGGAAGGACAAGTCACGGCATAACCTCAGCTTTCTGGTTAGACTCTGGCGAATCCCCTCGCCTCCTCCCAGCCCACAGCTGGGGTGCCCTCCTCCCTAGGGACACAGCACCCACCCAGTGACGCCCACCCTGGCAGCGGCAACACAAACCGAGACCCCCGGGGACGCGGGACGTGCTGGCCCCGTCGCCAACACCTTGCTCTGCTCCAGCCAGCAGTGCCTGCCCCGGGAGAAGCTGCCCATCCCCGGGAGGAAGGAGGGGTCTCACTCACAGCAGCAGCCGGAGCTTGTCCCGGAAAGCCGCGCGCAAATGCTCGTCCAGGTCCGAGTCCATCTCGGCCGGTAGCTCCTCCTCGCCCCAGGGCCTGTGGAGGAGCTGGGAGCGGGGCAGACGAGGTGGCAGCAGCACAACACTGTTGCCAGGGGCAGCCGGAGGCTCCCGCAGCTCCCTGGGATTTTCCTGGCATGGCTCTGAGCTTTGCTGTGAGGGCACGGTGCTCACTCAGCCCCCTTGACTTCAGCAACACACACACTGCCCCTCCCCACGTCCCAAGACTGCTTCCCTTCCACTCCATGTGCCATCAGATTCCCTTCATTCCCCTGTAAGTGCTCATTCCCCCATAATTAACCTGCACACACAGACTCCGTGTGGATTCACTCCCTCCTCCATCACTCTAGACACTTTCTCACACCACTCCCCGCTTCAGTTTACTCCTGTCCTCTTCTCCCCCATCCAACCCCATCCTACTCCATTTGGCCATTCCTATGTGTGTGTCAATCCCCCCACTCCCTCCAAGCACACTCAGATGCCTCCCTGCTCCCCTCTGTGTCTTTCCACCCCTCCCTTTACCCCTCAGGGTGCTCAGACTGGACCTGTCCCTCCACCCTTCCTGCACATCCCGATCCTCTGTCACCCACCCACAGCCCCCGCGATCCCCTCTGTGTGGATCCTGCTTCCCTCATCCCCTCTCTGTACAAGTTCCCTCCATGCTCTCCATCATGGCCAGGCATCCCCCTTTAAGCCACCGCACAAGGAACAGATTAACTCCTGACTCAGACACAGCGCAACATTTCAGACGAAATAGGGGAAAAAAATATTTATAATAAAAACAATTCAGTCTCCCCCGAGTCAGCATCACCCAGGTCCTGCCTGCACACACTCGTTTCTTCCCTTATCCCAGGGCCACTGTGGCCCTGTGGCAACTTTCTCCATCCCACCACTGCTCACGGGGACTGAGCCAGAATCCCACACTGGAATTCGAGTCCTTCACAGGCACCAAGGTGAGTGGGTTACTGTTCCCACGCTCTGCCTGTGCTGGGTGTCACCTTGTTTTAAGGACACCTGAGACAAAGAGGAACACGAAGAGAGAAGAGAAACAGAGAAATGCGGCTGGGGAAGGACGGAGTGAAACTGGAAGGGCTAAGTGGAGAAAGGGGTGGGAAGGCTCTGACTGAACTAGCCCATCACAGGACACCGACAGCCTGTGCTCAGCCACACGCATTGAGGACATGCTTGATGCTGGATTCCAGCTGGAGCTCCATGTGCTTCCTCAAGGAGGGACGGAAGTTATGAGCCTCGTGTCTCTTATCCCCTTGCTTCCTGTAGAGAGACCCCGCTGTGGAGCTCTCCATCGTCACCTATGCAAGGCACAGAGCAGCAGCATCTCAGCCACAGCCAACAGGAACTCCTCCCTCCCTGGCAGGGGCTCCAGGAAGACCCACAGCTTAGCAGGGAACAGGTGGCTCTGCCCCAGGGCTCACCTTCCGTGAGGTAGTTCAGATAAGCAGCCTGGGCACTGTTCCCATCGACCAGCGCCATCGCCTCCTGCTTGGTGCAGCTGCTCGTGGCCTCCTCATCCCCCTTCCCCTCCTCGTCATCTTCTGAGTCCACCAGCACTAAGACATCACCTGAGTCTGTATGCCTGGGAACAGCAGAGCAAGTGGAGGTGGGATGAAAGGCTGAGGAGAGCCTGTTTCCTGCCCCTCAGGAAGGCAGACTTGTAAGGCCACACAGGACCGGGCTGAGGAATGTCAACACTCACCTGAATGCAGCACCTGAATGGGACAGAAGGGAAAGACAGGGTTAGAAACCAGCCCCCTTGGGCAGTGCTACTGGTTTTACTGGGCTGCACAACCCCTGCCAGTCCTGCCTCCACGTCTGTGCCTCCACATGGAGCTGCCAGCAACCGGACAGTCCCCACACAGAGGCACAGACATGAAGGTGACCTGTCCACACGTGCAACCCTGACAGACTCCAGCACACCTGGAGGGACAGGCAGGTGAGAGATAAACCAGGAAGGAGGAACCAATCCCTACCTCTCAGGCACAGGAGGGGATTGTAGTACAAGACAACCCCGGTGACGGTGAGAATAACCAGGAGGGACAGGACCACCACGGCACCCACGATCCCAACAATGTTCACTGGCTCTGTGGAGAGGAGACATAGGCTTGTCACCAGGATACAGATGGATGAGGAATTCCCAGTGCTCGTCAAAGAGCAGGTTCTTAGTGGCAAATGTGGTGTGTCCCCACCCCCTCCCAGCAGCAGCCCCACTCACCCTTCACGGTGAGGCAGACGAAGAGCTCCCTCAGCCCCACAGGGTTCTGGGCCTTGCAGACGTAGCAGCCCCCGTCGGTGCCCTGGGAGCAGTTCTGGATGGTGAGCCGGGACACGTTGCCCTCCTGGGTGATGAGGAACCTCCCTCCAGGCTGGATCTCCACCTCTGGCTGGGTGATGTCCCGCAGCCAGCTGATCCGTGCTGCCGGCGTGCTCTCGGTCACACGGCACGTCAGGGTCACGTTATCACCCACAAAGCAGGTCTTGGGGGGCTCCGACTCCAGTGAAGGGATTTCTGAACAGCCCAAAGGGGAAAAGAAAAATGGGAGTCAAGGAGGGAATGGAGGCAATTAACATAACAAGCAATCAGCCATCTGACTGATTAATAATCATTAACAGAAGGGAGCCAGGCAGGAGTCTGGTGGGGGAACACTGTGGGTTCAGCATTCAGTTCACTCGGGAGCCTCCTGAGCAGTGACCTGAGCAGATTCCACAGCGCTCTGTCCCTTCTGACACCTGTCTTTATATTCCCAGGGAAGAATGGTCTGAGGATAGCCAGAGGGAAGATGGCAGAGAGGAGAAAGGCAGCCCAGGAAGTCTCCTTGGGATCAGAAGAGCTCTTGTGAAGTCCTGACAACCCTTGGAAGATAAATACAGCCTGGATTTTCAAAAATCACTTTAGACAGATCCCTGAGATGCCTGAAGGGTTCTGGAGGCATGCACAATGCTTCTCCTATAACCCCAGACCTACCAAACTTTATCTCAACCTGAGCAAGGCACTAAAACCACCTCTCACTTTCACACAGGTGTGTGAAAAAGCTTTTCACAGGTGAAAACTCTGCTGCACTGAGATTTGGGTCCCCTGAAGGTTGACCCAAGACACAGCTCACCTGCAGCTATGCCAAGATGGATCTCAGCTGCAGGACGCCTCTGCCTCGTGCTATCAGCTCTGCACAAGCCAAGCCCTGCCATGCTGCCTCCTGGCTTCCCTGACCACCTCAGTGCTCCAGAGGGCAGGGAACAACTGGAGTACCGACCTGCCCAACTGTTAGTAGCCAAATTAACAGTTAATGAGGCAGCAAATCAACTCACTTATCTCCACAGTGCAGGAAGGCTGCTCCTGCCTGACCACGTGGCTGCCGACACACGTGAAGACTTTGCGGTGGGAGAGGTGGGAGCTGTTCAGTGTCTCCACGTGGGTGTCCGAGGAGCTCGTGGAGCTGATGACACAGCTGGAGTTCTCCAAATCGTGCCCTTCTTCTCTCCAGTGTAGGGTGGGGTGTGGGTAACCCCCAGGCCAGCTGCAAAACAGCTGCAGCATCAGCCCCGACGAAGAACTCTCAGCCCAGCACTTGGGGGTTGACTGCGGTGGGTCTGTCAGCAAGAAAACAGCACATGGTCAGAAACACTTCCAGGTCACAGCTCTCAGCATCTCAGGGCTGGGACTCCAGCAAGTGTTCATTTGTCATCATTCCCCTTGAAAATCTTCCTGGTTTCCCTGCCAGTCTTGCTACCTGACCTGTATCCCACAGTCCAGGGGAGCGCAGCTCTGGGTGACAGACGACAGGGACAAAGAAGGGGCTGTCACAGCCAAGTCTTGTGGGAGGAAAAAAATTACTGCCACAGCTTTACTTAATGGAAATGAGATAAACACCTAAAAATGCAGGGGGAGAACGAAAACCCCACACTGCCCTGGTCCTCACGTCACAGCTACAAGGGGGTGACAGCAACTCAAACTCTTTGAGAACAAGGTTTTGTCTCTCCCTGTCATTGATACAAGCACACAATCCACCTCAGCACAAGGAAGAACCTTCCATTGAGGGTAGCAGAGCACTGGAACAGGCTGCCCAGAGAGGATGGGGACCCTCCCTCTCTGGAGACATTCCAAATCCACTGGGATGAGTTCCTGTGTCACCTGCTCCAGGTGACCCTGCCCTCACAAGGGGGTTATGAAGGTGATCACCTCTGGGTGATCTGCAGAGATCCCCTCCAACCCTAACAATTCTGTGGTTTCTCAAGGGAACATGGAAAACATCAGGGCTCTTGCCCAGGGACAAGTAACCAGCTTCTCAGAGCCACCAGCCCACCCCTGGCTGTTCCTGGCCACAGGGAGCTCTGCCCCCAGGGATCCTGGTGACTCCAGCTCTCAGGGTCAGTGACACTGAGGCCAAACCAGGTATGCTCCCCTCCTTCCTGGCACCTCTGGCAGCCACAGCAGTGGGGACAAACTCCAGCCAAGAACACAGGTAGGGCAGGTCCTTGCTGGCCTCATGCCAGGGCCGCTTCCCAACCGTGGAGAGGTATGTTACTAAACACAGGAACACCTACGGGAGTGGGTCAGAAGCCAACAGAGAGCCAAGTGCAATCCCCTCGGGCAGGGCAGAGCAGGGCTCACGTTTCAGGCACAGTCTCATCTGCTCCTTCCACACACAGATCCACACATGTGCTTGGTTAACCACCACAAAGATCCTGGACTCTGATCCATCCAGGCAGATTTAATATGCTATGCTCCCGCGTGTGCCTGACCCAGTGCTGAACAAGACCCCACTGAGAGACGAGACCAAAGCAAGCCAGGTTTGCAGCCCCAGTGAGGTTGCAGAGGGATGCCTGAGGCTTATTTTGGGAAGCATCCATTCAAGTGACTTTCAAATGACATGAGTTTAAAAAAAAAACCATAATGGCAAAGCCCCATGTGAGCTATAAGGACATACCTTCCTGGGGCTTGGCTCTTCAGGAACTATATACACACACCTCGGGTGATCTTTGAAACCACCCAGCTCTGGCAAGAAAGTTCTCTGCAACACCTCCTCTGTCCCAGCTCTGGGGAGGATCATAACTGATCCCAAATCCTGGCATGGTTAATAGAGCAACCTGTCAGTCTGAACCACCAGGAAGTGTCTCACACCGAGGTGGACACAGCCCTTCCAGGATGTCCAGCCAGAGCTGCACTTTCTGGGCTGGCCCCAGGAAAGCACCTCCTGAAGCCACCAGCTTTACATCCTGAACTCCTGGGCTCTCCCGGTACAACTCTGTCTAAACATAACAGAGATCTGCTCCCCAAACGTAAACAAACCAAAAACCTGAAAACCTCCACCTCCCCTACCATAAAACCTAACAGAACACCAGCAAAAAGGACCTGTTGTGGTTTGACCCACAGAAGAGCCAGCAGTGCTCGTGTCAAACCACACACAGACACACCAAGGAATCCCCGGGAGGTGTGGAACTGCACGTCTCCTTCCCACCAGGTGCTTCCCATCCAAAACAAACACAGAACCGCAGCTCAAGGCAGGGCTGCACCTTTGTCCTGTCACTACAGTGTTTACTCTACTGCTTGGGTTTTTTTTTTTAAGTGCAGTTTTAAACAAAAAGAGAACTTTTGGGTACCACCTGTGGGATAGGTGGTAGTTCCCACACAAAGCCCCTACAGGTCCCAGGAGGTTCTTTTACAGTTGTGACAAGTCAGTGTCCAAAAAGGTTCACTCCAGCCCAAGCTAAGTTGTTTATGGGTATTCCAGTGTTCCACATCACCTTTGTCATAGCTTGAACTTAGTTGGCACGTTAATTCCAGGCTAATAAATGAAGTTCAGAGTGCAGCACCAACACCTGGCATATCATAAATACAGTTTGCTCCTGAGTGTTTTGCCCCAGTGCTCCAGATTTGGGGCTCCCACCTCCTAAGCCCTGTGCCCACATATATATTCCCTGAAGCAGCGTGGGGTTTGATTCCTTCACTCCAGACCTTTGTGTGACCTTTCACACCCAACCTGAAGGTTCCTTGCTGCAGGAAGGAAATTTTTATTCCTGTAAACTTTCAGAGAGTTAATCTGTACAAAACAGGCACAACGTTCACACACACACGGAGAAGGAAGGAACACCCCGAAGGCAAACAGGTCACACATGGCAGGTGTTGACAGAAAGTGCAACAACAAAGGGGCCAAGAAGGCACAGAGGGTCAGTGAAACAGGCAAACTGTTAGCGGATTTTCCTCCTTCTCGGTCCTGAAGTGACCATGAGTGGCATCAGCCACAGGACTTGTGCTCCCTGCTAATCTAGAGGGGGCTGTTTCCATGGAATATGTGAGGAATCCAGGCAAGATAAAGCTCCCTGGAAGAAGCAGGAAGGACCTGCACCAGCTGTAAGCAAACTAATCCACCTGAATACTCTCCAGCCTGAACTTCCACACATGCTCTGAAGATTTCTGAGAATGAATGAATCAAATAGGGATGGAAATGGAACAGAGCACCAAAACACACAACAGGGCTGAAGGAACAGCCTGTGCTGATAACAGGGACAGTCCCAGGACAGTACTGCCAGCAGTAAATCCAAGGAACATGGTGCTCCCTTTGAGAGCAGAAGGCTGCCCTGTAAGACTCAACAACTAGGGACCCTCCATTCTCCCACCAAAACCATGGAACCAAGGAATGGCACAGCACATCTACTTCCAACATGTATTCCAATCGAGGGAGAAAAGACAGTGAGCAGCAGCCCCCATCCTAAGGTTTATGAAGGCTCAACTCAGCCAGATTCTGAGGCAAAGGGAAGAGGTACACCCTGGAACGTGCTACAGGGAATGAAAGATCTACCCAAAAACTTGTTTATCACCAGCAATGAAGAAGAAGAACTGAAGAGACATAGTGAGGACTTAACAGCTGAAACCGCACACACCTGATCCGTGACAGGCCATTGGTACTCACATTTTGGTGCTTGTGAGTGGACACAGATTTTGCATGATAAACCCACTGCGCACTTCTTTTATATTATTTTTCCACCTGTGCCAGATGAATTTGGGGACCGAGGGGAGGAGGTTCAGCCACGGGACTGACTTACTGGCTACCAGCAGCTGGACCCTGTGCTCATGATCCGTGTTGTTCAGCACTTCCTTGCAGGTGTAGTTGCCTTCGTCCTGCACTCGCAGCTCCGTGATGCTCAGGGAGCTGTTGTTGACCAGGGAAAAGCGGACGTCCGGGGGTAAGGAGATCCTCGAGGAGAAGAGGGGAGGGAAGGAGTGTGGGTCCCCTTGGAACCAGGTCACCTCGGTTGCCTCCTTGGAGACATTGCGGCATAAGAGGAGGATGCTTCCTCCGACCTGCCCAAACACCACTTCATCTGTTCCTGGAAAAGAGAAGGGACAACGTTAGGAATGAAGGGAAGGGGCAAAGCTGCCTTCTGTCAGCAAAGACCGAGATATCTGATGTACATCAACGCTTCGAGGTGCTTGTTAGGGGACTGCTGAGGGAGCTCCAAGGCGACCAAAAACATCCAGCGCGGACACAGGATCAGGAAAGGGGACTCATCTCCCTGCTCCCCTCCCCTCAGCCCGCGCTACCTGCGGCCTCCCTGCGCGGCACCAGCCTCCAGACGCAAAGGGCGAGGAAGAACCGTGCCGGCGGCGTCCCGCAGGGGAGCTGCATGGCTGTGTGCCGCTGCCACAGCCCCGCGGAGGCGGTGCCGCTCGGCCTCCGCCCCGGCGAGCGGGCAGGGCAGGGCAGGGAGAGCGGGCGGACCCGCCCGGGGGAACCCGCCTGCCCGCCGGGGCCCGCCAGGGGGTCGTGGATCAGATCCCGCCGCCTCGGCACCGCCATCTTGAGCCCCCGCCATCTTGAGCGCCCCCCCCGGCCCCGCCCGCCATCTTGGGGTCACCTCACGCCCCCCTCGGTCATGGCGGGCGGGCCCCTCTGAGCGGCGGCGGGGCCGGGGCGTCGCCCTCAGGTGCCGCCCATGGACGGGAACGTTTAACATAAGGGGAACGGTATTTCCTGAGGGCAAAACCAAGTGCGTAAGCGAACCCCAGGTGCGGAGAGCTTCTGTAATTCACCCGTTTAGAGACACCCCGCAGGCAGTGCAGCGGGAAGAGCCGCGGTAAAAGATCATCCCTCCGTGTAACCCCACAGCAAGGCCTGTAAAGCATTCAGGTATCTTTTAGTTTTCTCCAGGACATGTTACACTGGGGGAGGCACGTAGCCATACCACACAAAGCGCTCAGACCCGCTGGGTCCTGGCACATTAATTATTAATTAACCTAATTAGCAGCAGGAGAGGCAGAGCTGCCCCAGGTAAAAGGAGCTCGGGGTCCCCCGTTCCCTGGGTGACACGGCCAGCTGCGGCCGCGCCCCGCCGGAGGGCGCCATAGAGCTGGGGCGGGGGGGGGGGGTCGGCAGCGGCTCTTGACCAATGGGAGGGGGGCGCGGCGGCGTCTCCGCCAATGGGCGCGGGGGGCGGGCAGCGCGCGGCCGATGCCTTGGGCGCCGCAGCCGCCGTAGCCGCAGTCAGAGCCACAATCACAGCCATGCCGGTGGACCTGGGGCAGTGGGACGGGCCGCTGAGCCTCGCCGAGGTGGAGCAGAAGCCGGCGCAGCCGCTGCGGGTCAAGTATGGTTCCGTAGAGATCGACGAGCTGGGCAAGGTGCTCACGCCCACTCAGGTGAGCGGCGCCCGCCCCCCCCCCCCTGCTCGCGGGGGTGCCGCGGCAAAATGGCGGGAGGCGGCCGGGCGTCTTGCGCCGTCTCTGCGGCAGCTCATGCTGGAGCCTCACCTGGTATGGGGGGAGAGAGAGGGGCTGAGCTTTGCTGTCCACACTGGTACAGGCACGGCCGTGCCGCGGACGGAGGCCCGCGGCTCTCAGAGCCTGGGCGAGGTGGCATGAAGTTTGAACTCCTCGGATGTCGCAAACGGCGCTGGTCATAGGTGGCCCTGTGTGCAGGGCAGGTGGCTGGCGCGGGCGGCGGGGCTGGTGCTAACGCGGTCACCCCTGCAGGTCCAGCATCGCCCCACCAGCATCGAGTGGGATGGCTGCGATCCGCAGAAGCTTTACACCCTGGTTCTCACAGATCCTGATGCGCCCAGTAGGAAGGACCCAAAGTTCAGGTATGGGAATGGGCCTGGATTGCCTGGGGAAAATGGAACATCCCTCTTGGGCTGAGGAGAGAGTTAGGAGGAGTTTGGGACTGTGCTCTGCCTGAGGTGCAGCTGTGGGGCTGTGGCTTGGCATATAAATGGTGTCCTTGCATCTTTCCTTGAGCCAGGGACAGCACGGGGAGGAGCAGCTGCTTCTTCCAGCAGTGTTCAGAGGTCTGTTGCAGCTGGAACAGCACAGTATCTGCTGCTTGCTCTAATTTGGCCATGTGTGAGTTGGAGTTAGGCTTGTTTGTGTTGGAG